TGAAAATGAGAATGGTGGTGAGATCTCCATCTTTCTTCTTCTTCCTCCCCTTCATTTTAGCTTTTTCGATTCAATCCTCTGGTTTGTCAACTGTTGATTTAGAAGCTAAAGCATTGCTGAACTGGAAAACTAGTCTGAAAAATCACATTTTGGTTTCATGGTTTCTTAAAACCAGCAACTCCACCAGCCATTGCAGTTGGATTGGCATCAAATGCAACGATGACGGAAGTGTACTCGAGGTTAACCTCCCAAATTTTGATTTGGAAGGGACTCTCAATCAATTGAACTTCTTCTTGTTGCCCCATTTGACCGGCCTGAATCTCAGCATGAACTATTTTTTACAAGGGAAAATCCCGAAGAGTATCGGCTCCCTTTCGAAACTCAGTTTCTTGGATTTGGGAGACAATCGGTTTACGGGGTCGGTACCTGAAGAGATTGGCAATCTCACTGAGCTTCGCTTCATTTCTCTAAGTGGAAATGATCTTAGTGGCCCCATCCCTTATCAGCTGGGTAATCTGCAAAAGATATGGCATTTAGACCTTGGTAGGAACAATTTGACTTCTACTGACTGGTCAAGGTTTACAGGTATGGAGTCTCTTACTCACCTCTACCTATATCACAATGCTTTGATAGATTTCCCAGCCTTTGTTTCCAGATGCAAAAAATTAGTACTTCTTGATTTGTCTGAAAATGAAGTAAGTGGTGGAATCCCCATTCAAATGGTTTCCAGTCTGGAAAACCTCCAAGTCCTCGACTTTAGTCGTAATTACTTTCAAGGACCTATTCCTGCTGAACTTCAGAATCTGACGAGGCTTCAAGAACTTAAACTCTATAGCAATAATCTCAAGGGATCCCTCCCTCCCTCCATTGGAAACCTTTTCATGCTTAGTACATTGTCTCTATACAATAACCACTTCACAGGATCCCTCCCTCCCTCCATAAGAAACCTTTCCAAGCTGACTTACTTAGATTTATCTGCAAACAACTTCACAAGATCCCTCCCTCCCTCCATAGAAAACCTTTCCAAGCTGACTCACTTATATCTATCTAGAAACAACTTCACAGGATCCCTCCCTCCCTCCATAGGAAACCTTTCCATGCTTAGTGATTTGGATCTATCTGGAAACCACTTCACAGGATCCCTCCCTCCCTCCATAGGAAACCTTTCCATGCTTAGTGATTTGGATCTATCTGAAAACAACTTCACAGGATCCCTCCCTCCCTCCATAGGAAACCTTTCTAAGCTAACTCAATTATTGCTATTTGAAAACCACTTCACAGGCTCCCTCCCTCCCTCCATAGGAAACCTTTCCAAGCTGACTCACTTATATCTATCTAGAAACAACTTCACAGGATCCCTCCCTCCCTCCATAGGAAACCTTTCCATGCTTAGTGATTTGGATCTATCTGGAAACCACTTCACAGGATCTCTCCCTCCCTCCATAGGAAACCTTTTCATGCTTAGTGGTTTGTCCCTATCTAATAACAATTTGATGGGATCTCTTCCTCCTGAGATTTGGAATCTTAAATACATAACTATTACGGATTTAAGTTCAAATAGATTTCAAGGCCAATTAATCCACACCGCGTCTGACCTTCAAGGACTTCACCTTCTATACAACTACGGCAACTTTTCTGGAAATACTAGGTTGGGTTTGGGAAAAAAATTTGAAATGTTGAATATCAGCTCATCAACGGATATACGCCGTCAGATTTGCAAAAGCATGAAATTATTGCCAGGATTCTTGAAACATTGTACGAGCACAGTGACAATCCGAGAGGTTGCATGCTATGACCTGGTGAACACAACTGAGACTTATGCCAAGCTTCCTAATTTAGGACAACTACATCTCTCAAACAATCAAATTTCTGGTTGTATTCCAGAAAATTTTGGAGAAGTCGTGCCAAATCTATCGATCTTGGATCTCTCCAATAACAGTATTTCAGGATTTATTCCCACTTCCATGGGATACTTGAAAAATTTGAGGACATTATTGTTGAGAGGCAATACATTAACAGGCCAGATCCCATCGTCATTTAAACATTGTACCCAGCTAGAGGTTTTGGATCTTGGTGACAATCAATTAACGGGAAATTTACCATCATGGATTGGCCAAAGTCTTACCTCACTTCGTGTTCTCTCTCTGAGATCTAACAAGCTTATTGGGGCCATTCCTAAGACTATGTCAAGTCTATACTCGCTTCAAGTTTTCGATGCTGCTGAAAATTGCCTCTCAGGCACTATCCCTGACATGTTCACAAACTTCGCAGCAATGAAAGTTACAGAGAAGATGGCTGATTACATTTACGATCTCGAGCACAACTTCTATTATATGGTGAGCATTGATATAGTGGCAAAAGGGTCAATGATGGAATACACCAAATTTCTCTATCTTGTGACATGCATAGATCTTTCGAGAAATAATTTCTCGGGAAGAATTCCAGAATCATTGACAAAATTGATAGGCTTGCGCGTGTTAAACCTATCTGGAAACCACATGATTGGGAAGATTCCTCAAGAGATTAATCAATTGCAAGAGCTAGAATCGATGGACCTCTCGAACAATCTATTCTCTGGTGGCATTCCTCTGAGCATGTCATCTATGAATGCCTTGGGCGCATTGAACTTGTCCTACAACAATTTGTCTGGTCCAATTCCTTTTACTGGCCACATGAGCACATTCGATGATGCCTCAATATACTATGGAAACGAACATCTTTGTGGTCCTTCTCTTCCTAAG